TATCACAAATCAAGTCATTAACTAGCAGACTTTTAGAGGAAAGAGATCTTATGTTAAACAGACCACATTTAATCGTTTTTCTTTCTCTAATTTATTTATTTTACCATGGATTGATTGATTGATTAATTGTTGATTGATTTTTTTGAAATTGATTAGTCGATTGATTGGCTGATTGATTAATTGATTGATTGGTTGATTGATTAATTTATTGATTGGTTGATTCATTGATGGATTGATTGATTGGACACTGCCTTGATAGGTTGTTGGGTATGTAAGAATTGAAAAGCTTTATTATTGATATTTTTTTTCTAAAATAAAATTAATCTCATTTAGAAGCTGAGCACTGCTTCTTTTTCTTCCTTCCCTCCTAATGATGAACACTGAGAATCAGACAAGTTGATTTTTCCTGCTAGCGTGTTAATATGCTGAGCAGGCTAACCTCCAGCAGGTAGCCTGATTTAAGTTAGCTAAAGTCAGGCTACCTGCCTGAGGCAGAGGGAAGCTGCTTTGACATCATATATATCAAAGATTAGTTGTTTTTTTATTAAGTTAAAGCTTTAACAAAAGATAAATTACAAAACATTTTTTTTATCTTAATGACACAAATCATTATCTCGACTATTCTTCAGTTATAGATAGAAAAAAGGTTTGCTTTTCCAAAAATGATGCTTTTCAAAGCATGGTGCAGATAAATAGTGTTTGGGATGGACATCTGTTTTCAGACTCAACAAGTTCAGACATTTGTTTCATCTCAATAATATCTCTTATAAAGTAAAAGGACAATTTGGGTAGAGACCATTAAACTCACCAGAAGTCCATTGGAGCCGTGGATGGTGACACATCTGGAGAAGGAGTGGTGGATGGATAGGTGGCTGATAAATGTTGGCGGGTTGTAGCCTCCTTGCTCATCTACATCTCCATTCATGTGAAAGTGGACGGGATAGTGACCCATGCTCTGTTGACCCATGTGCTGAAGCTCCAAACCGGACAGATGAACAGATCTAAAGCCCCTCTGGACCTGATAAATGAAGCAGAAGAATGCTCAGCTTATCCTATCCTCTGAAGAACAACCAGAAGAATGAAGTTTGAAACTGTGAGCAGCTGGGAGAAGAACTCTGTGCATTAAAGGTGTGCTGAGAGCATTCCTCCAAGGTAAAGTTAAAGTTAGAGCAACTGGTTTGATCCAGAGCCTGAAGCACGTCATCATCAATTCAATTAATTTTATTTCTATAG